GAACGTTCCTTTGCATTTTATGCCTTTGCCTAGATTACTCCATCCTTTGGGACAAATCAGTTCATTGATGAGTATTTTCATGTTATGACTACTTCTACTTCCCTATAAAACATTCTCCTGAGCTCAAACTTGGAGCCCTTGGGAAAAGAGAACCCCAGGGTATAAACGGCTGGAGACCTGGGGTGGGAGGCATTGCCGGAAGCTGATGCTGTCCTCAGGGGAGAGCTGACGGAGACCTGAATTATACAGTATGATATTCAAGAAATGCTTTGGAGAGGCCAGTTACACTTGAGAGACATAATACTAAGATGGAATTTGCAGGTTTGGGCACCTGGAGATATAACCTTGAATAAGGAACTGGGGGGGGGGGAAGGAGCTCAGGATGGAGGTGGGAAGGTAGCAAGGATGGTGAGATAGGTTTTTGATCCTCTGAGATGTGATTTTGGTGGTTTCTTTACCCACCACAGGAAAATAAACAACCCACGCCACCTGATCAGACCCACTGGCACTTGAAAAAATTCCTTTTGGTTTTTAAAGCTTTAATCCCTGTGCAGAAGTCAACACCCTTGACAGGGTTGATGTGTTCAGCTAACAGCCGCCCTAGTGTCAGCGGAAGATTTGATGGGGGGTTGGGCCCGGCATGAAGCGAGGTCCAGGGCGCCGGCCTGACAGACCCAAGGGGACCCTTGGGTGTGTTGAGTCTTACATAGTTCGGATTTCTGCATGCCTGGGAATGCTCCACAGGTCTGTTCAAGCCCACTTCCTCTCCACTGTGGCTGCAGCAGGTCAGGCCTCAGCTTTGGCTTCTCTTGCTCTCAGTTCCCATTCTTAATCCTCTCCATCCCCTCTCCTCCTCTCTGTATCCCCCGCCTTCCCAGGCCTTGCCTTCTCTCCAGCTGTCCCCAACCATGCCTCCATCCCTTTCCACCATAGCCTTAACTCTGCGTCGTGGGTGTGCAGCGTTTGTGGACATTGAGCTTTGCCTTGGGTCATGGTTACTATAGGTTTGTTCTCTCATGTATGTGTGTGTGGGTGTCTCTCCCTAATTTAACATCTCTCAAAGTGTGTCCTGTGAAACATAGTGATCAGATTAAATGCAAAACGTGCTTATAATCAAAGGGTAGGAAATGGTGGGTTTAGCAAAGGCTGAAAACCTTTTGTTTTTTAAAACATAGGCCTCTGCAGAGTTTTAATTTACACATGTAGATCCTGAGTCCCTGTGAAGTACTTCTCAACATAATTTACTGTGCAAGAACCTGTTTTTCATCTCGTAGGGCTGGTATTCTGCAGGCCCAGTTTCCAAAGCGCCACTGAATTTGGCTTAAGTTCTGGAAGGGTAGAAACCACACCATCTTCTGCTGTGGTTCCCCATGTTAGCTGAGGGTAGCACAAGGCAGGGTGTAAGAATTTTTGAGTAAACTCTTAGGACAGTTGTTTGGTTTAAAAAAAAAAAACTATTGTAGTAAAATTCATATAACATTGACTATTTTAATCATTTTAAAGCATATAATTCAGTGGCATTTAATATGTTCACATTGTTGTACAACCGTAACTACCATCTACTTCCAGAACATATTCATCACCTGAAAGGAAACCTTGTACCCACCTAGCAGTCACTCCCCATTTCCCCCTTCCTGTGGCCCCTGGCAACCACAAGTCTGCTTTCTGTCCCTATCAATTTGCCTGTTCTGAACATGTTATGTAAATGGGCTCATACAATTGTGGTATTTTGTGCCTGGCTTCTTTCTTTAGTGAAGTTTTTATGTAGATACAAGTTCTTAGACCTTGATGATACTCCTGATCCTTCAAAGCAACTCTTTATCATTGACCAAACCCCATAAATGTATGAGTTTCAAAAAGCAGTCATCCATCTGGAAACCTCTAAGTCACATGGCCAAGGTAAAAAAAAAAAAAAAAATCACAGAATACTGTAGAAAAAGGTCAGGAGGGTGGTGGTTGCCATTATCATTACTTGACCCGGGACTCCAGGAAACTGGCCTGAGCTGGGCCTCAAGCCTTTTCCTGGAGGTCAAAGGTGATTGAGCTGTTGATACAATTAGCTTATCATCCTCAATCATCCTTTTGCTAGTCAGAAGTCTTGGCATTTCAGGCTACTCATCATTTAATAACCAAAGAACATTCTTAGGAGCAGGATGATGGCTATGGAAGTCAGAACTGCTAAGGTGCATGTAACAACTCACCTATCAAATCAATTAGCTTCAGAAATGGGTGGCGCTGGAGCGTCAGGCCCATACCCAGCCATTGCTGGCAGTCAAGAATGGATGGGAGGAGTGGGAATGGGGTCTCCTTCCTCCCATCCTGTGAATACTGTGGACGCTACACCAGGATGAGTAAGATTTAAAAACTACCTTTTTTTTTTTTTTTTTTTTGCAAGAAGAGGGTCTTGCTCTGTTGCCTGGCCTAGAGTGCAGTGGTATGATGACAACTCACAGCAACCTCAAACTCCTGGGCTCAAGTGATCCTCCTGCCTCAGCCTCCCGAGTAGCTGGGACTATCGGCATGTGCCACCACACCTGGCTAATTTTTCCATTTTTTTGTAGAGATGAGATCTTGCTATGTTGCCAGGCTGGTCTTAAACTCCTGGCCTGGAGTGATCCTCCTACCTGGGCTTTCCAAAGTGGCTTGAGCCACTGCACCCAACCTGGTTTTTTAAATTATTATTTCAAAAATAAAAAAAAAATTTTAATCTAGAGTGGGTTGAGTCCTGCAGAAGCATCGTGAAGGGAAGGTTGTACTGCCCATTGCACTGCAGAACCCTCACTGGTCCTTCAGGCAAACTCTTTGAGCCTGAGGAATCATGTAAAAATCGGATGCCCCAGTGCTCTGTGGTATCTTGGAACTCCTAGGAGTGGATTATCACCCACTGTAAAGACAGCTGCTCGTAGCCCCTTGTGGCACCCTGTGCTCAGCAGTGGTGACCCTCTCACCTGCTTTACAGGCTTGTACAACCCCTTCCCCATTGTTCCATTAAATTGTCGAGGATCTGTCATCTCTGGGTGTACCCTTTGCTCTCTACTTATTGCCATCTCTTGAGTCCAGGCGTATATCAATACCATTGCCCAAAAGAGTGTTACTCGTCGGCCTAAGATAACTGTTTTCAGTATGTCGTCTTCCGCCTAAGAAGATACCTGTGATATCTGTGATATCTTGGTGTCCAAACTCCTTTCTAGTTTTTGAGCCCTTCTCTTTCTTTCCCAATGTAGATTGTGACCCTCCCTACTGATCAGACTGGTCTCCTCCTTTCCCCTCCCCATCATCTCTTAGCAACTTCTCCTGGCCTTGTAACAATGGACTGCCCTCTCTCCTTTTGCCCTGACCAGTCTAACTCTTTCTCTGAAGCTCATTCCGGCTCAGCAGCTTCACAGAGGCTCCACAAACATTCTAGCAACTCTTGCTGTCTGCACTAAACTGTTGCACTTGAATGCCACAGGATTTAGAGCTGCAAACATTTTTTCCCTAACGATTTTATCTCTTAGTCTTTCCTCCCCCACTAGATTGTTAGCTCTCAGAGGGGACAATAAGGTAAGCAGGTAGAGTGGGAAGGCACTGGACTGTGAATCTGAGGGCCAGGTCACCTCTGGATGCACACTACTCGCTGGTTGTGTTGTCTTGGAGCCATTTATCTTGAATTTCTGTTCTCATCTGTAAAACAAGTTGGGGATAAGGTGGGTGTATTAGTTTCCTATTTGCTGCTATAATGAGTTACTGCAAACTTAGTGACTTAAAGCAATACAAACTTATTCTCTTATAGTTTTGGAGGTCAGAAGTCCAAATAGGTCCACAGGGCTGCATTCCTCCTGGAAGCTCAAAGGGAGAATCTCTTTCCTTGTCTTGGGCAGCTTCAACAGGCTGCCTGTGTTCCTGATTAACGGCCCCCTCCTCCATCTGCAAAGCCCATCAGTCCAATCTCTGCTTCTGTTGTCACATCTACTCTGTGTCTCTCATGCTGCCTCCTTTCCCTGATAAGGACCCTTGTGATTACATTGGGCCCACCCAGATAACCTGATGGGAAATCTCCCCATCTCAAACTAATCACACCTACAAAGTGTCTTTTGCTGTATAAGGTAATTTATGCACAGGTTCTGGAGATCATAACACAGATGTCTTTGGGGGCCATATGTTTTCTACAGTGGATTCTTAGGTCTTCCATGTCTCTAACTTGCCATCAATCTAAAGACATATTTCTTCCACTTAAGAGCTTAGCACACGCAGTGCTAGGCTTATCAACTTCTTGATAAGTTATGTTTATCCATGAGGATTTCCTCTTCTCAGATTGTTACTAGGGATTCTAGGGCCTGAAACAACTCAGTGATAAAACTGTGAGCGCAAACCTTAGGATTATTCTGGTTTGACTGCATGTTTTCATGCAAAAATTTGACGATGCTCTTCTACCATCTTTGATTTTGTGCTTTGTAAATTTTGAAAAGTGCTCAAAGAATTTCATTTTGTTTCCCAGTAACCAAGGGTAGCCTCTAAACAGCCTGTTAATTAAACTGGTGATTGTGCTGTATTTCTGATGGTCTCTCCATAAAGTCTCAGATGTGTTTCCAGGTCCTCTTATATAAGGTGAAGTAGATGTGTTGTTGAAGTCTAGAAGCCTAGGATGCTAATCTAGTGAGTCTCTTCTGTAGTTGCTATTTAATGTTAAATTTATGGTATTTCACAGCAACTTAGATTGGCTTTTATATGGTAATGACTCTGTTTTCTTTCCCTACATTCTACTGGGTGGTCTCTACCTTGGGTGACCATCACTTACAAAGCAGCGAACAAGCATCCATAAAATATATTTACAGTGGCTCTGTCGTGTTCTCCCCATTGTTCAGCTCACTGTGTTGGAATAGAGTTCCCCATGGGTTGAAAAACTGCCATTTTCAAAGTTTTGAAACTGCTTTTGGCAATAGTGTCTGAGAAATGCACAATGTGAGTCACGCAAGTTCGTAGCCTGCCTATTGACATCTTCTTTCCATTTTGTCTCCTAGATGCACCCACTGGGCCTGTGTAATAACAATGACGAAGAGGACTTGTATGAGTATGGCTGGGTAGGAGTGGTGAAGCTGGAACAGCCGGAGTTGGACCGGAAACCATGCCTCACTGTCCTGGGCAAGGTAAGCCCCAGGCCCTTCAAATCACTGTGATTCTGGCTGGTGTTTTCTATTCTTCCATTTCTCCAATTCCTCAAATAATGGCTTATGAAAAAGAGCTATCCTGGCACAGTGCTCCTTCCTGGCTGCCGTCACGTGAGCTGGGAACTGAGACGTGTCTTGCAGTGGCCCATCGGGTTGTTTACAAACCCAGGCTCTGAGGGAGACTGCCCGCCTCGGAGTCAGTTCTGCCTCTTGTCCACTGTGTGGCCTTGTGCACGTCGCTCCTTTTAAGGAGTCTCAGTTTCTTCTCTGTGAAATGGGCTGATGACAGAGATTCACAGTACTTTATCTTACACCCTTAGGGCCAGATATTTCAGAATTCTGAGATTTGGGGTTTAGAAAGGTGTTAAAGTGTGTATATTTCACATTAAGTAACCTCCAGGAGATCTGGGGCGGCACTCAGTAATCAAACACGTTCATATTTGTGTAGCAAACCATATGGATATTCACATTAAGTGGGATAACTAAAATCCAAATAGCCACATGTTAGTTCAGGGCAGCTTTGCCTTCAAATGAGTTCAGGTCCATTAAGTTTTGCTGCCGAGTAAGTTATGGAAAAACTTTTGGGTTTTAGAGCTTTTCTGGTTTCAGAATGGCAGACAGCAATTATGGTCCTGTATTAGAACTTACCTCATAGGGTGGTTAAGGGGTGAGAGGAGATGCAAACACCTCACACAAGAGTAAGCCCTCAAAAAACATTTGCTGCCGTTGGCTGTTGTCACCCATTTAGAAACACTAAAAAAGACTTCTTAGCCAAGGTCAGCATTACTTCTGACTGCACTATAAGATAGAAATAAATTTACTTTGGAAAGCCATCCATCAACAGTCTTAAAATATGACAAGTAACAACCTGTTTCAAACTGGATCATTTTGTTAAAAGGAAAGGTTCAGAGAAAGTTATTTGAATTTTGGTTGGAAGAAAGGTGGTGTCTTCTAAGGATAGTGTTACTGCTTGGATATTTTTTATATTCTCAAAAGCTACTGTGCTGGATACTATGGGGGGAAAAACTGTCCTGGTTCTTATGGAGTACTATTCAGCTCTAAGAAACAATGGTGACATAGCACATCTTATATTTTCCTGGTTAGAGCTGGAACCCATACTACTAAGTGAAGTTTCCCAAGAATGGAAAAACAAGCACCACATATACTCACCAGCAAATTGGTTTTAACTGAACAGCACCTAAGTGGTCACATAGGAACTACAGTAATAGGGTATTGGGCAGGTGGGAGGGGGGAGGGGGGCGGGTATATACATACATAATGAGTGAGATGTGCACCATCTGGGGGATGGTCATGATGGAGACTCAAACTTGTGGGGGGAGAGGGGGAAATGGGCATTTATTGAAACCTTAAAATCTGTACCCCCATAATATGCTGGAAAAAAAAACCAAAAACCAAAAAACTGTCCTGGTTCTTGACCTTTTGAGGCTGTCTTGGGAGATCCCAGCAAGAGAAGAGGTGGTTTTGATGCAGAATACGAGAGAGGGGAGCCTTTCCCAGACTTGAAGAAGCCCCTGTCAGTGTCTCCTGAAAGAACTTGGGCCCCAGGGACCCTCATAGGTCTAATCTGTTTGTGATTTTTGCAGTCCTCTTGTGTTCTGAATAGCTTCAAGGCATTTGTCAAGTTCTCTTGTCCTTTCCTTGAGAAAATTATTCCAAACAGGAATTATTACCTGTTTGGTTTACAGTTCACCAAGTTGAATCGAAGTGTTTTAGGTGGCTCAGGCCCTGATACTTCATCGTTTAAATAGCTGGCCCGATCTGCTTAGTGGTGGTAGGAGAGCAGTGACCCCCTTAAGGATAATTTAGTGTTTTCCTAGGAGAAATGCCAGCTACCTATATAGGATAGGAACAGTGCCTCCCTTGTAGGTATTACGCAAACAATATAATATTTTCTCCTATACTGAAACTCCTGCTCTACGGGGCTCGGCTCCTTGGCTTAATTTGCTTTCCCCCCCAGTCTCCTGGGGACTCCATCTTTGTGTCTCTTGTGGGTTGGAACAGGGATCACAGGGTCACTCTATAGTTCTCCCACAGTATACTGGTGGGGGCATTTGTTGAAGTCGCTCAGAGAACCCAACTATTTCCTTCTCTGCTTGGAACAACCATGCAGTGGTTTTACTTGGAGAGTTTTGTATGGTTTGGCCTGCTGGCCTGTGAAGCCAGGGGGAATAAAAACCCTAGACATATATTGAATCATTAAGTATTTCTTGAGTTTATTCATTCACCAAATATTTATTGAATACAGGGGCACAGAAGCTAAGCATGTGGTTCTACCTGCCCGCGAGTGGCTGCCCTCATGTTTCTGTTTGGAAAGGCTGTATGGTGGCAGGGAGCATTTGCATGTGGTTGATTGTTGCAGTTTGGCTTAGAGTTTACACCTGAATAAAATCATTAGCAAAAAAGCTTGCGCCAAAGTAAAACAGTTTCACATTTGTTTAAAACCTGGGTTGGTGTAGGAGGTGCCATGAGTGAGGCAGGCCCCCCTCCCACCTGCAAAGTGTGTGGTGGTTCTCAGTTTCGATTTTGTTAACTTTGCTAACTGTATTTTCTTTTTTCTTTTTATTTTTTCTGAACCTCCAAGGGCTTGTAGCAAAAGCCTAGGGTAAAGGAAAGCAAAGTGACATTGTAGGCATCTCAGTCCCCTGCACACAGCTGATTTCCCAGCCATTCCTTGGCTCTCAGCTGTGGCAAGAAGAGAGGGGCACAAAAGGCATAGGAAGAGAAGCCGGCCACACCAATGTGGGGGTCAGGGGGGATCTCCCCCATGTTGATGTTGAGACTTGTTGAAAACCCTAGAAGGGTCTAGAAGGACTTCGTCAGCTGTGGCCGTGTCAGGCATTCCAAAAGCCTGTGGGGGAATAGGGAAGGCCTAGACACAGCCCAGTCTCCCGCCCCAGCACCCACCCTCGTCACTTCCCCACCCACAGAAAATGCCATGGGGTGAAACCGTGAAATAAGAGAGGAATGTCCTAAATTAAAAAATGTAAATGCCTCTCCAGGAGTTCAAATAAAGTTTCATTATAAAAGCCTACAGACATAAACTCATCACCTTGGTTTATTACTGAGTGCTTTTGAACTCCTCAGAAAAGAATACTATAAACTTCTGAGACAAAAATGACTTTTATGATCCCTTCCTTCTAATCTTTTTGATTCTGTAGGAGGAGGTGCAGACAGTAGGATCGGCTAGGGAGACAGAGCCGGGGTGAGGGTGAGCCCCCGCTGGGAAGCAGCAGGCCAGGCCCTGCCTCCGCCCAGCCATGGGCACATCGCTTCAGCTTTCTGGTCCTTTCTTTTTCACTTACCGCGAGGAGGCTATTCTGGGTTCCTTGCTTTTCTAATACTTTGCGCTTCTATATCATATTTAAAATCTTACCTTGATATTCTAGTTTGGGGATATTCTAGGTATAGAAAGACAGTCTTTGGAAATTAAAATAGAATAAAATTGACATTCTGACCAGCTTGTTATTGAAAGTGAGGGTTTTAAACCATCCCAAAAGTTTAGGAATTTAAGTTTATGCCCCAGGCATTTTAACCTTTCAATTCAAGCAGTGTTTATTAAGCATCTTAATTAAGCAAATTCTTGGGGCTGCCAAGAATTTCGAAGGTTGACTATAAGTTTGCCCCATCATCCTAGTGGAGAGTCTCATGGCAGGGAACACAGGACGTGCTGGAGTTTCTAGCAAAGCCTGCCTGGCCCTGATTCCGTAAACCCTACCACCCCTACCACTCCATGTCGGAGCAGATTCCTAGGAAGGGTTTTGACAGACACTATGGTCAACATACGTGGCCTCGGCTCTCTGCAGTGCTTGAGAGGACGGTATGGGGAAGTCAATTAAAATACAAGGTAAGGAATTTCCTTCACAGAGACCCAGCCTTGGCTGAGTGGCCTTAGAAAGGGTACTTCAGTTTTCAGTGCCTTCCTGTGTGCAACAGGGCTAATGCTGCCTTCGTCATTGTCGTGGAGGTTCCTAGAGCTGTTTGTGGAGCACTTGGCACAGAACGTGGCTCAGCAAATGCCCGATGAGCATGCAGAAGCAGCCATTACATGTTGGGTGCTTGTGGAGAGCTTTACATGTGGTGTCTGCTTTAATCATCAGATATACCCTGAGATCCTGTGCAGATTCCCATTTTACAATGAGCAGACCGAGTTCCAGAGAGGTTCTCCACGTAACCCAAGATCGAACAGCTCGCAAGAGCTGAGATCTAAAGTAAGCCCGTCCTGCTTCATCAATGATGATTTCCTTTCTGTGTCTCCATTTGTCTTCATTAATTTTCTAGATAAAAATTGGATGCTTTTCAGTAGTCACAGGCTTGGTTAAGACTGTTAGTTCCACATAGTTGAAACCTAGCTTGATAAGTCTCACCATCGTGTCTATGGAAAAAGACAAAGATAAAGAATTTTAAAAAGAAGAAGAAGAAGAAGAAGAACAACCCAGGTTGAGCAGAAAGGGGAATTTGCTCTGAGGATCCTGGGCTGTGTCTTAGGACCCATGACATTACCCACCAGTTTGTGATTGCACACGTGACTTGGTGACCTGCTTAGGGGACGGCAGCCCCCTTACCAGCTCTGTTCTGCAGAACACACCTTCCTCCTGCCCCCACACATGGGAGCTACATTGTGCTCTCAGCCTCGGACTGAGTCCAGGAAGACACTTCCTCAGGTCTTCTCTGTGTGTGCATCTGCTTCATACCCCTGGGCCTGACACTCTCTTGGTTCTGAATCTCAAAGATTACAAAAAAGGGATTCATTGGTCTGTTTGGGATCAGGTCCTCATCTTTAGGCTGGTCAGGCATGCTCTGGGGCTGAGAGCACAATGCAGCTCCCATGTGTGGGGGCAGGAGGAAGGTGTGTTCTGCAGAAGAGAGCTGGCAAGGGGGCTGCCGTCCCCTAAGCAGGTCGCCAAGTCACGTGTGCAATCACAAGCTGGCGGATAATGTCTTCAGTTTATCCCGAGTCA